GGCGGTCGCGGGGACCCGGCGCGGCCCGCGCACAGCGCTGCCTCCGGCCCCCCCACTTGGCCGTCGTGAACCTGTTTTCTCGTCTCCTCAGGACACGGGGTTCCCGGCTTAATGATTGCCCAGACGGCGGCTATAAAGGGAGCCTGGGCGCCTCGGGGGAGGAGGAGCAGAAAGCCTAACTCAGCAGGTCCGGCCGCGCGCTGCGAGCGCCCTGGCCGGTCGGCTGGCCGGCTTCCACCATGGCGGCCCAGGGCTACGGCTACTACCGCGCGGTGATCTTCTCGGCCATGTTCGGGGGCTACAGCCTGTACTACTACAACCGCAAGACCTTCTCCTTCGTCATGCCATCGTTGGTGCAGGAGATCCCTTTGGACAAGGATGACTTGGGTGAGCCCTAAGCGAGCAGGGTGGTGGGCCGGGGACCCAGGACCGGCAGGACGAGATGAGTGTGGCAGTGCAGGGTGTACAGCCGGGCAGGGTGTGGTGTGTGCGCGCGGCAGAGGCCAGCGGACAGTCTGCTGGACCAAGAGGCTGGGATCCGCGTCCATGGGTGTGGGTGAAGGACTCTGTGTGACCCCTGCATGTCTGAGGAGGGCTGCTAATCTGATTGCCCGTGACCCACATGGACCCCCAGGGCCACTGTTTATGCTGAGGGGTTTCCGCATCTGTGGGGTGCATGCTAAGACCTGAGTGCTTGCCGGCCACTGACATTGTGAGCACTGGGAACTGGGGAGTTGGCACTATGACTTCATGTGGCCTAGCAAGTTACCTTTCAGGAGGAATAAGGTCCCTGGCTCCAGTTCTAAGCCCTTTGCCCCATGTTCAAAGGTGGGGCAACAGAACGGCCAGAGGCCCTGGGTTGGCATCCAGGGTGAGGGGGAAATCAGGCATATGTAAATCCCGGGGAGGGGCGCTGCCCTGTCCTGCCCCCTTCTTCCTGACAGCTGTAGCTGGAATTCTCCAAGGGGCTGAAAAGTCATGGGTCACCCTGGGGCTAGTGCTGACGTGAGGCAGGAGTAGCTAGCATCAGGGTTCCAGCACAGGCCCTCCTATTTCTCTTGGAAGGAAGCCGTCTTACCCTGCCCAGCACCTCTACCCGCCTGAACCCAATGCTTCTTCCGCCTCTCCTGTGCCTTTGTCCCGGCCCCTAACCCCCCAGGTGTCCCGTTCCCTGCTTCTCTCCCTTACAGGGCTCATCACTAGCAGCCAGTCAGCAGCCTATGCCATCAGCAAGTTTGTGAGCGGGGTACTGTCTGACCAGATGAGTGCTCGCTGGCTCTTCTCTTCTGGGTTGCTCCTCGTTGGTTTGGTCAACATAGTCTTCTCCTGGAGCTCCACGGTGCCTGTCTTCGCTGCTCTCTGGTTCCTCAATGGCCTGGCACAGGGCCTGGGCTGGCCCCCATGTGGGAAGGTCCTAAGGAAGGTGAGTGTCTACTTCCAAGGAGCCTGTTTAAATTGGCCTAGCGGATACCCAAAGAGCATGTGGGAGCTCCAGCACCCCCTCCTCCAACCCAGAAGAGTTTCTTTAGGAGTTTGTCTGGCTCCATTGCTTGTCAAGATATTTTAGGAGCCTGAACATGGTGGGATCAGGTGGCAGAAGAGAGAAATGGCCCTGCCAAGTAGAAGCACCCTCTCCCTCATCCCTGTAATGGGAGCTTCTGGGTCTACCCCACTTTATCCCCTCCTTCTACATGGACTGTAGGCTGGGCACCTACTCTGTCCCCCTCTGCCCCACAGTGGTTTGAGCCATCTCAGTTTGGCACTTGGTGGGCCATCCTGTCAACCAGCATGAACCTGGCTGGAGGGCTGGGCCCTGTCCTGGCAACCGTTCTCGCCCAGAGCTATAGCTGGCGCAGCACGCTGGCGCTGTCTGGGGCACTGTGTGTGGTTGTGTCCTTCCTCTGTCTCCTGCTCATCCACAATGAACCTGCTGATGTTGGACTCTGCAACCTGGACCCCACCCCCTCCAAGGGCAAGAAGGGTGAGCACCCACCCAAGCCGACCCCTTGGCAGCTTTCATCATTCATTTGGCAGACTTTCATCGTGGACTGGCTGTATGCCTGGCCCTGTGCTAGCCAATGGATGTAGGGGTTGGGATGGTGATGGAGAGTGGGTGGGGAGTAAATAAAACTCCATTCCAAGAGGCAGTTAAGTATCAGACAAATGGCAGAGCCCATAAATGCTGTGGTTCATATTATATCCTGGTCCTTCCTTACAGAGCCAGGCTTCCCTGTCCTTGACAGCATCCTAAGCTTAGGTGGCTTGGGTGCTTTCCTCCATCTGCCCTGGTTCTCAGTATCTTTCATTTGTTGAGGTTTGCGGTGTGGAAAGGGCAGAGTGGTGGGCGAGGGTACCCTCCTGTTTGATTCTTGGCTATGTGGATGGACTTTGTTCCTGTGGCTGGTAAATGAGTGTGTATGGGTGAGGGGGGCACAGTAGGGGAAGGGCAGCAGAAGCAGAGCCTAAGGCCTGGCCTCCTCTCACCCCAGGCTCCTTGAAGGAGGAGAGTACCTTACAGGAGCTGCTGCTGTCCCCCTACCTGTGGGTGCTCTCCACGGGCTACCTGGTGGTGTTTGGAGTCAAGACTTGCTGTACCGACTGGGGCCAGTTCCTCCTTATCCAGGAGAAGGGACAGTCAGCCCTCGTAGGTAAGACTGTGCTGGAACAGGGGTGAGCCCTGGTGTGGGGGTGGGAAGTTCAGGCCCGCTTCCCTTGACTCCCTTTTCTTCTTTCCCTGAGGCTGGGCACTACTTAGGCAGCTGTGACCAGTCGCCCTCGGGGACCCTGTACTTCTTTGGGTTTAAACCAATCTGGGACAACCCCAATGTGTGACACCCTTCCTTTCCCTCTTCCCACAACTCCCACTGCAGGCAGCTCCTACATGAGTGCCCTGGAGGTTGGGGGCCTTGTAGGCAGTATTGCAGCTGGCTACCTGTCAGACCGGGCCATGGCAAAGGTGAGTGGGCACAAGGGACAGGGAGGAGGAGGATCCCTTTAAATCTTCCCAACCTGACTGAACAGGCACGTGATGGGAGCCCTGGCACAGGCAGGTTGGCATGTGCTGGTTTAGGCTGTGTGGTAGGACTGAGTTCAGGTTCTTTGCTAAGGATGTGGAGATAAGGCTCTTGGGGAAAGGGTTTTAACTGATGTCCAAGTGAGCCAGAATTTCTCAGCCTAGCAGTGGGCTCCTCCACAGCTCCAGGAAGACAGGTTGGGGAGGAATGGTGCAGCTGGCCAGCATGTGTCCCGAGCCTGCCTCGAGTGGAGGAAGGGATATTGTGGAGTTTGGCCTCAGAACATATGAGCAGCTCCCAGAGTTACCCCAAGCCAAGAACTGGTGGGACTGCCAAAGACCTGTCAGGAAAGGCATGCCGTGTCAGAGTCCAGGGTGCTGTCAGGGCCTGACGTTGCTGGGACTTTCCACAGGCAAGGCCGTCCACCTATGGGAACCCTCGCCATGGCTTGCTGCTGTTCATGATGGCCGGCATGACGGTATCCATGTACCTCTTCCGAGTAACTGTGACCAGTGATTCCCCCAAGGTAAGTGAGGAGGGCTGAGGGCAGGCACGAGGTGAGAAAGCAAGGGCCACTGCCTCCCTCTCCTCCCTCCTACGGCCTGACTCGACTTCCTCTGGCTCGTTCCTCTCTGTACTTTGGTGCCGCTCACCTCCCTTCTGGTCTTCTTTCCTTCCCTATGCTCCTCCAGGATGTTGCTTTCTGGACTCTGGCTCTGCACCCTCTCGCTGAGCTCACAGGCTTTAAGGAACATGAGGTGCCTTGTCCTTACCTCTGGTTTCTCCCACCTTTGTCCCACTCACTCTGCCTTGCCCCTGGCCAACTCGGCTGGCATACATCAGAGGAGACAGCATCTAATTTGGAGGGATGGCTTCTGTGCTTCCTTCACCTACCCACACAGGCCCCAGGGTTGGCTCAGTGTGGCACCCACTCCTCCAGCTCTGCACTGTCAACTGTATTGGGAAGTGGATGAGGGAGGTCACTGTCTCCTTACAACAATTATTGTTCCTGGGGGTTAAGCATTCCTCCCTCCCCTGGTAGGGAAGGCAGGCAGTTTTCTCAGACTCTAATGCTACTGTGCCCTGCCTTTGCAGCTCTGGATCCTGATGTTGGGAGTTCTGTTTGGTTTCTCCTCTTACGGTCCTATTGCCTTGTTTGGAGTTATAGCCAATGAGAGTGCCCCTCCTAACTTGTGTGGCACTTCCCATGCCATTGTGGGACTCATGGCCAATGGTAAGTGATACCCTCTAGTGTCTCTCTACCTCACTCCCACATAGGCCAGTTAGAGGCTGGGGCAGGCCCCATTGCTGTTAGTCTCACAAGTGACTCTGGCTCTTTCCTCCTCCTCCCTGGCAGTGGGTGGCTTTCTGGCTGGGTTGCCCTTCAGCACCATTGCCAAACACTACAGCTGGAGCACAGCCTTCTGGGTGGCTGAAGTGATCTGTGCAGCCAGCACAGCTGCCTTCTTCATCCTACGAAACATCCGCACCAAGATGGGCCGAGTGCCCAAGAAAGCCGAGTGAAGAGAGTGCAGGTCTGGAGCATCCCCTCCCACCTATGGCCTTTCACCTGCACAGGGTCGGGAGAAAAGAGGGGTCTGCTCTGGCTAGCACTGAACCTTTGACCCCCTTCTGCTCCTTTTCCCCGGCCCAGGAGGCACTGGAAATTACCAGGGTTCCAGCTCCCCATCCTATGGTCTATTTAAAAGATAACCTTTGTTTTTGGACTCTATTAGCTCCTATTTTGCCTTCAAATAGGCAAACCCCTGCAGTCAGGGAGTCTCCTATACTCTTCTTCTCTCCTGGGCCCTGCCCTACACCCATCCCACCCCATCCCCACCAGAGGTGAGGCTCTTCCTGCAGCTGCAGGCCACCCATGGCCCCTGCCTTCTGCCCCAAGGCCTCTCGGTACGGGGGTGACTGCTACTGCCAACACCTCTGGCTCCAGGGAAGAGAGACCCTCCCTCTCACCATTATCCTGGGTTCAAGGGTAGGGGAGACGGACTGGAGAAGGGCAGGAAGACTTGTTATAGAGGATTAAAACTAGATTTGATACTAAACACTGTCAGTGAGTCCTTTCAAAAGGAGTATATAAGCCAGACAGCTTTCTTTGGAAAATACTCTTCCAGTGCCTGTTCTGTCCACTCTAAAAGCGAGACTTCATTTCCCTGCAATGGGAAAGCTGACATGGACGCCTTTAAGTCCATGTCTCCTTGGCCTTCCACTTAACACTATAATTCAATGATCACTTCAGAGATGAAGCTATTGGGTTTCGCGCAGATTAAATAACTTAATGGAGGGAGGCAGTGGCTGATGGTGTAGTCAGAAAGCCTGGGTTCAAACTCAGGCTGTCAGTAACCAGCTTTGAGACCTGAAGCACAGAGACTGTACCTGGCTTACTCTCTCGTAATGGAACGTACGCTGAGGCCTGGGTGAGGTTAAATGAGAAGGTAGCAATGCAGTAAAGCCTGGCCGTAAACACGTGATAAATGGTCCATCACCCCCCCCC